TGTTCACCCTGGGCATCTGGGTCTGTGGTTAAGGGGAAGTACCATCTCTAAGCTGGCCTGGATTAGCTCTACAAAATAGAAAACAGCCTCCACAGCCACTTAAAGACGGGTCTGGGCTAACTTGAATTGAATGTAGTGATGGTGTGCGGTGAGTGAAGGGAGACATTCCAAGCTGAATCTCACCCTCATCTCTGTGGAATTCCCTGTGAATGGTGTAAACTAAACTGACTTGTCTTTAAATAGATGATGAAGTGGTGGGACTCTGTTTAGTGGGTCAGCTCATGTGCAAGTGAACATGTAGCTATATGGATAAGGAGGTGGTCTGTCTTTGCAGGGGCAGCCAGTAACTGGGCCATCTGCTCAGGATTAAAAAACAAACCCTTGGCCGGGCGCGATGGCTCAAGCCTGTAATCCCAGCACTTTGGGAGGCCGAGATGGGCAGATCACGAGGTCAGGAGATCGAGACCATCCTGGCTAACACAGTGAAACCCCGTCTCTACTAAAAAAACAATACAAAAAGCTAGCCGGGCGATGTGGCGGGTGCCTGTAGTCCCAGCTACTCGGGAGGCTGAGGCAGGAGAATGGCGTAAACCCGGGAGGCGGAGCTTGCAGTGAGCTGAGATCTGGCCGCTGCACTGCAGCCTGGGCAACAGAGCGAGACTCCGTCTCAAAAAAAAAAAAAAAAACCCTTTGGTCTAAGGCATCTGCTAAAAACTTTGGAAACTGTCAATAGAGATAGCTTGGTCTTCAAAATATAGTCTCAAAACTTTGCTTGTCCGAACTTGGGAGGAACATATTGTGCAAATAATCAAAATGTGATGCTTGCCCTATTAGAAATTGTGGTTCCTGATATAACACTGTCTTTGTGTTATATGTGTTGGAATATTGACCGTCAGTCTTACCAGCTTTTCATTAAGCTTGTTACATATGACCTCATCATATTTCTGAGCCCCTGATTTGACCAACAATATGGCCACATCAATGAAATCAATAGCCTTGTGAAAATGGAGTTCAACTGTAGCGTCAGGAAAGATTACTTTGATTAGTTAACATTATCGAAAAATCCTCACCAACTTGATAATTATTTTCCACTCACGTAAACTACTTGATTGATTTTTCTTTTTTAAGTATTTTATAGAGATGGGGTTTCGCCATGTTGCCCATGCTGGTCTCAAACTCCTAGGCTCAAGCAATCCTCCTACCTTGGCCTCCCAAAGTTCTGAGATTATAGGTGTGAGCCTCTGCACCCAGCTTGATTTGAATTTTTAAAGGCCATACGTTATTTTCCAAAGTAATTCTAAGGCATTAACATTTTAGGGAATAAAATAGAATAGGAAATAGTTAAGACTATAAAAATATCTATACACATATATATTCTTATAGAATAACAAGGCTAGGAAACTTCTTGTTTTCAGTTAATAATGCTTTATTATAACACTGAATAACTTAATGTAAAATTTCAACTGCATAGGGAAGTAATGAAATTTTTAAAAATAACAATGGTGTTACTAATAATGATTTTTTAGATTTTATCTCCAGAAAAATGTACTGTTAAAAATGTAGGACAAAAATCCCCACATTTTTTAGTAGTGTCAACCAATTTTTCTGAAATGCTTTTTTACTTTTAACCAAATAAAGGTAGTTGACAGGATGATATCATTTGCTCTTTTTACTGACAGTCAGTAAATTCTATGACAATTAGCAGCAACAGCAATGACTACATAGGTAACTGTGGTAACAGCAAGGGGTTGCAACAGTAAAAGATTTCTGAGATCTTTTACTCTGAGGATTGTCAATGTAGACTTTCCAAATTAAAAGAGGAGCTCTCACTGTCCAAACTGTAGGTAAGACTATAAAAATATCTATACACATATATTCTTATAGAATAACAAAGCAAGGAAACTTTTGGATGAAAAATAAAAAATTAACTCACTCATCCAAATGTTGGCCACCATTACATCAAACATCAGGGTATGTAAAGACATCTTGTGAAATGACTGAATTCTCAAGTTTACATCTAGGTCATTGAGATCTTACTATCCTAGTGTTTTTACCTGATAGTAAAACACTATCAGGTAATAGTGTTGGTGCGTAGTGTGGTGTACCCTGGATACCTGTGTTGAACACAGAATAGATATGTAAACATATCTGTATATATTTTAACATATATGTCATGTAGTACATATAACATATATTATAATTAATGTGTTGAGCTTAAGATATAAGTGAAATTGATTAACATAACTATACCTCATCTTCCAAATAGAAAATGAAAAAAAAGTCTACTCTTTTTCCTCATGGATATATTGTAAAAATAGGTTTTCAGCGAAACAAAGTAGACTCTGGAGGCAGAACTCTGGTGCTGCAAGCTGGTGTTACTCTTTTTTAGCATTAACTTCACTTTTTATCAAATTTAAATAAAACTCTGAATTTGAGATAGGGGGCTTTTGTGATATTTAAAATTTTTTGAAATGGTTTAGTAGTCCTTTATTGGTAGTAAGTGTTGGATGAATGGTTGAATGAAGAATGACCAAATTAATGAATGGACAAGTAGGTTTTGGAGTTGCCACCCTATGGGGTTGGGTTCTAGTTGATTGCCAACTATGTGTTTCAGTTTTATAGAAATACCTGCACTGCTGGTTTTCCTGTGGTTTAGTCTCAACAAACAGTACAAGCTTGGGAGGGATATTTGCTGGGATTTAGCTGAAACACAGAAGCAATCAAGTAGTTGAATTCTGCATTTTAAAAATTGAATGACATTCCTTTATCCATATTGATTTGAGCTTTGGTAAATTCAATTGTTGATACCACCTGGATAATTTTAAATCTTTCTGAAGCTTTAAAAAAAAGTTTCCAACATAGCTCCAGCAACATAAGAATTTCATCAATTGAAAGCTAAGAATCATTTCTGTGGGATGTGTAAAACAAGAAGCTGACCAGCATTATTTTCTTTTTCTTTAATTCAGTATCATTATTGAGAGTTATTCTTGAACTTTATGAAAACCAGATTGGGGCATGAGCGTGTTCTCCATTGAATCATGTTCAAGGAATTGAAACTGAAAATCATTCAAAGTAGGGAAACATGACATTGAAAAATAGTCTACATTCTTTATTCTCCCTCAGAGTATCTGAGGCTGTTTCTAACTAGGAAGCCTTAGGCTGACAGGAGATCTGGGTTTGGTTTCTTGTTTTTTGTCTTGTTCTGTTTTATTTTAATAGATGTTTAGTTTACTAGTCAAAAAGAGGTCTTAGGTTTTTGTTTGGGGTTTTTTTGTTACTACTTTGCTGGTGTATCAGTTATGACCTTGGATCCTCTTACTCATTTGCTCCAAAAGTTGTGATTTCTCACCATTGTCCACAGAAAAAATTCCAAATAATCTCATTCAAGGCTTTCTGCTCTCTAGCCCAGGCAATCTCTTAGCCACACTTCTTACGATTTGATTCTTCCATGCAAGTCCCCTCCCAGTCAAAACAGACTATGAGCTGCTCACAAGTCTCGTTTTGCTGCCTCTAGTCCTTTTCCTTCATTATTCTATCCTTCAGGAATGCCTTTGCTTCTCTCCAGTCTTTGAATGTTCCATGTATACTTCAAGGTATGATTCATCCTCTTCCATGATGTCTTTCCAACCGTCTCACCGTTTCCAGCCTCCTCTCCCCCTCCCTAACTAAAACAAATCTTCTCCTTCCATCTATCCCCCTCACACACAGAGACACACACACACACTCCACATGCTCCTACAATTTAGTCATAGCGTGTATCACATTCAAGGCTGCTACTTGGGTGTGCACGTTGTGCTCTGCACAAGAACGTCAAGCCAAAGGGACACGTGGGGATGAAAATCCTCTTACTCTCCATTTGCCAAGGCGTACACCTGCCCATATGACTGTGTTTCTGCAGAGGATACCTTTTTCTGTTTTCCACAAAGGCACCGTATGGACTAGTAGCCCATCTGTTCATCTGCATCCATGTTTTTTAGTTCCCCTTCCCAGAGCACAAATTTGCTGAGGGCAATGACCACCCTTTTATTCCTACCATTCCTGGTAAAATGCCTTCTTTACACATGGTAAGTTCTCAGTGACTTCGTTTAATTTAATTAAGGCATGAAATGTATTGACTAAAAACAATTACTTTAGCTTATAAATGCAAATATGAAAAGTACTGTAGGAATCAAAATGGACTTAGCAGATGTGGAACAGTAACTTGTCTGACTTTAAGTGCATTATGGTTCTATGTCAGCTAAGTAATTTCCTACAAAATGTAGTGCCCAGTAGTCTTTTGTGGGGCTTCAGAAACCACATTTGTGACAGACTATGACAGACCATGGCAGAGCTGGACTGAAATCCATTTCTGGTTGTTTGTTAAAATAGGCAAGGAATAACATTCAGAATTTTCTGCAGTGGGCAGAATTAAGGTCAGGAAGAATGCCCATGGGAGGTGAGGGACTTTTGGGAGGAGTCGGTTGGATCAGTCTGAGGTCAGTATACTTCCTGGAAGTCTACATTAAGGCAAAAACAAAACGAAGACCTCATCTTAAAGCCCTTGAAGCTAGAATGACTCTGCCTTTACCAACACTGCAAATTGTGTAATTTGACGTGGCCATGCTCTCAAAGTAAAAAATTGCTTCGTAAAGGCTTTAGTGGAGAATTAATATTAGTTCTGTTGCAATTTTATGTGACAAATGGGAAATGTCCATAAAGCAAGCTTTACAGACCACAAAACAATGATGTACTTAAGATAGGTTTTATGCCTATTTAATAAAATGGACAGGACTTCAAATTTCAGATTGCAAGGAGTAACCATTGGTCTGCCTCTCCAAGAAAGTCCCGTGCCTATGTACAAAATTTCTCAGTAACTATGCACTTTTACAGTCCCAGCTTTAAATTGCTTTTTGTTTTCCAGGATGTATTGAGTTTATGTAATGAACTGTTTTCAGGAAGAAACAAGCCATCTACAACCATTTCACAGTGCATCTCTTTCTCTCTCTCCTTTTCCCTGACAGTCCTCTGTGATGTCAGTCTGCTTTGCCCGTTTCCATCCTAACTTGGTGGTTGGTGGGACTTACTCGGGCCAGATTGTTCTCTGGGACAATCGCAGTCATCGAAGGACTCCGGTGCAGCGGACACCCTTATCAGCCGCTGCACACACGGTAATGCAAATTTTTACCATATCCCTATGAGCCACCAGGCCTTGAAAGAGAAAATAACTCTACTCAAAAAGTATGGATGTTTTCAGTAATGCCAAGTTGGGAGGAGCTACTTTATTATGATTGAATCCTGACCAACTAAAAGTTAAGTGAAAAGTAGATGAAGGAATCACTGGCTTTAGGTATGTCTCTTAATAACGTACATGTGTTAGGATGTAGGGAGGATCTCCTTGGCTCTCCCAAAGGCCACCAATGAAGAGAAACCTTGGACGAGGCATCTGTGGAATTGTTTTCCCAAAGAAACCCTATGCATTTACATTATAAGGTGGAAACATATATTTTCAAATAGATCCTAAAGAGTAAGGATTTCATGTCAAGGGATGATATACAGGACTTTTGCCAACAGGCCTTTTCCATTTGTGATTTGAGCGAGTACTTTGACTTTAAATTCTGGAATGTGTAGTGTAAGTCTCAACATAAAGTCTACAGTGACAATATAATCCTTGGGGTTAAAAGTCAACATCTCAAAACCATTACCCATAATTTAGTAGAAGAGGTTCAGTATAAGTGTTCATAAGACAACTACTCTGTCATTTCCTTTAAGAGAATGACAGGTGTGTACAGCAATTGTTCAGAGGAATGAGAAGACAGGCGTGTCTCCATCAATCCTTGCTACCTTGACACTCAGGGTAACTGATGTTCTTTCTCTGAAATGCCCAAATTATGCCCAAGGATACAGCTCTACTCTTGTTTTCAATTTCCTTAATGCGCTTGCTGCATTTGTTTCATATGCTGGCCTCAAAAGCACTCTGGCATGAAAAAGGACTGCCAGCTGTTTAGCTAAGTCCATGAGGAGGAAAATTCTCCCACTCTTGTAAGATTATCAATGGGAAATGACAAATACCAAGTCAGCCCCAATTCTGATTGACTGGGGCCAAAGACACATGCATGTGAAACTAGTTCTTGGGAATCTTGGGAAATTGCTCTTGCCTACCTCATTTCCCCCAACTAATAACAGAAAATTGTGGCCCAGGAGAAGGTGGGCTTGATGCAGGTGTTTGGCAAAGTACTGTGAAACCATGTCTTGGCCCTGTTTGGATGGCTGGTGTGTTTCTGAACGTACCTTCTGAAATTTCCAAAGTTGTAAATCCAAATGTTAAAACATTTAGCAGTAAGGTTTTGGGGAAAATTCAAACCCAGGAACTTTTCCAAAGAATTAACATTTCTTTTGCAAGTAACTTAGAGTGTGATCATCACAACTAAAATACTATTATTATCAAACTTACTGATGTTATTTCTTTTAGAAAATAAAATAAGCCAGGCATGGTGGCTCACACCTCTACTGCCAGCATTTTGGGAGGCCGAGATTTGAGGCCAGGGGTTCGAGATCAGGCTGGCCAACATGGAGAAACACCGTCTCTACTAAAAATACAAAAAGTAGCTGGGTGTGGTGGTGCACACCTGTAATCCCTGCTTCTTGGGAGGCTGAGGCATAAGAATCGCTTGAAACCGGGAGGCAGAGGTGGCAGTGAGCCAAGATTGTACCACTGCACTGCAGGCTGGGTGACAGAGGGAGATTTCCTCTTAAAAAAAAGAAAAAAGAAAAAAAAAGAAACAAAACTTGTCCACCTTTCTCTTTTGCTGTGTGTTTTTGTTGTTGTTATTATTTGGGGGTTTTTTGTTTGTTTGTTTGTTTTTTCTAATCTATAGCTAAAAGTGAGCAGTTAATTTTGTGACTGTCTTTCAACTTTCACTATTGGCTGGCTGATTGGTACCAGGATCTAAAAGAAAAAAGAGGCCCACCACAGATTACTCACTAATTTCCTTTCACACCCACCACACATATGCATATGGGACAACAGGAAATCATAAGTAAAACAAAATCCTTCAGGCGCACAGTAAGTTTATTTCCAAAATAAATAAAACCAATCTGGCATCTATACTGGAAAAATTAGGTGTACTGTAGCTTTTTTCTTCCTTAATGGTAGAGTTGTGTGTGTGTGTGTGTGTGTGTGTGTGTGTGTAAGCATGCCCCAGTGTCTGCTTCTGTTTTGGTTTCATTACACCTCTTTTTTCTTTTAAACTGAGTTTTATTACTCATGGAAGCACAGGCCAGTACTGCTGATTAAACCCTGGGAGGGGCTGCCACACACGCTCTTTCTCTGGGCACCTGGCTCTATTATTCTTCTAGACTTGGTTTCTTTCTCTGCTGGACCTTTCTGAGTCTTAATCTGTTAGTGTTTAATGATTTGTGTTGATGCTCAGTGGTTATCAAAGAAGCCCCACTGGACTCTTGTTGAAAAACAAGATGGATTTCAGTTTCATAACAGTATTTGGACCCTGCCTTCCCATTCTTCAGTTTTACTAAGTCTATACCATTTTCAGGTGAAAATTTGTTACATCCAATCTTCCATTGGATTTCCACACAGAGGTTAGCATGCTATGTGGCTCTGGTCTTGATAATACACCGCCTCGGGCTCTGCATGCACCAGAGACTTGGGAAAGAGCATTGCCTACAATCCCACAACCAATCAGCCCTCCTGATACTTAGAGAATTGATTGGGATAACATTTAGCTTCAGATCTCTGCTGTACTTACCACTGTGCAGATCCACTAAGGCTGATTCATTTGGAAGTTTCAGTAGGGACATGGTGTGAAAGACATAGGGACTTAGCTGACTATCCATCGGCATAGGGGAAATAGGTAATATAATTGTCAAAAAAGCAGATGTAATCTTAGCATGCATTAAATGCAGGCATATTTTTTATCACATGAAAAGTGATAATTCAAAGCTACCCAGATTTCTATATTCTGCTGGTCAGATTATAGGTAGACAGTTCTGTTTGATTCTCAGAACCTCACTGAAAGAGGAACTCAGACAAAATACAGCATTTTCAAAAGAGATTCACCAGGATAGGGAAGGTTTTGAAAACCAGGTACCCAAGGAACAGATGAGGGAATTAGTGACAGTCTGGGTAAGAAAAGATTTGGCAGGGAGAGGAGTAATAAGGAACAACTGTCTATAAATATTCAAAAAGTTGTACTGTTTTGACTTGATTAGTTTGGTCCCAGAGGGCACTGCACTGAAAGTATCTCCTTGAACTTTCTTTATCCCCATTAGTGGAAGAAAAAATTCCCCCAGGATACTGTGAAAATTGGCTGCCCTTTAAGGAAGGTGTTTAAGCAAAGTTTGAATGACCTCTTGGTTGAGGCAGATGAGTAGCTACGTTAGATGATTATTACCACTCCTTCTGACCAGCAGTTTATATGATAATAATAGTTTGGGAACCATCCTTTACACAATATCAACTTTCCAATATTAAATATTGTTTCATTGTAGTTGTGGCTAGGTATTATGGATAGTAACTCATCAAGGGTAAGACTTATACTGTCAGCTATTTACACAAAGAAGCACCAAGTAAGTGTGGTTTGGCCACTGATGGCTGAACTGCCTGAAATCTAACCCAAATTGCTGTAGGTTCTGCTCATGGTAACCTTCCATTTAGTGTCTAATACACAGCTGCAAATGATTTTACCCTACCGTTTAGAATTCTGCAGAGTGGGATAACCCACAAGAGTATGACAGAGGGTTATAGCATCTTGTGTATGGTTCCCGGGATGTATACATGACCTTTCTCAATGCCCTGGCCAAATCTAAGCCTCTATACTACTGCAAATGGTATTTTGAAAAATAAATATATTATTATCCTAGATTTTGTAGTAACATAAAAGAAGCTAATTTTATCTCACTAGGTACACTGTGCCAATAATCTCACCACCAGTATCTCTCCCCCAGATTAAAATGGTATGAATATTAACCACTTTGTATAAAGAATGTTAACAAGTGTTTGGCATTGTGACTATAACACATTAAACTCCAGATTTAGTAACATATATTCCTTCCAAAAGTCAGTAGTTCTACCCTTTTGAAGACTGTCTTTCTCCATCACTCTTGTTGAGCTTAGAAGCCAAACTATGCAGTGGAGACTTGTTCAAGTAATCCAAATTCACTTCCCTGCATTGCCTCTGCCCCATCAAACCTCGTTTGTTCTAGCTTCCTTCTGTTCCACTGCATTGCATTCTGACTGAACAAGGTGAAGCTTTGTAAGTATTTCCACTATTATGTGTTGCTGCCAGAGCTTTTAGAAAGAAATCAGGTTCAAATGAAAAGCAGCAAATGACCTGACGCTTGTATTATAGTATAGGATTATGTCACTCTTTAATCCTTGTTTTAGAGTAATGTGTTTGACACTCAAATGTAAGCATTTCCTCTTGGATCTGTGTCTGATCCTCCTTGTTTGTGTTTTTGCAGCATCCCGTGTACTGTGTAAATGTTGTTGGGACCCAGAATGCTCATAACCTCATCACTGTCTCCACTGATGGCAAAATGTGTTCCTGGAGCCTGGACATGCTCTCAACTCCACAGGTGGGTTTGTTTTTCCCTACACATAACACCATCCTGGTTAAAAGACATACCTACTTAATGGAACATAGTTCCTAAAAGCCAAACCCTCACATCCTAGAGGAGCTAAAACCAATGGATGCACTTGAAAGACTAGGGCTTGCTTTCAGCAATCTTCTCTTGAAGCCAAAACCCATTTCCTTTACCACAAATCATGTAATTATTGTAATACATTAATCCTTAGGTCAGTTTCAAGTGAAAATGAAATAATCCATTCTAAATCATAGTAATTATGGAAGTTACCTATGGTATGAATTGTACTTACCCTACAGCATTGTTGAATAGATGCAAACGAGGTTGGAGCTCAGCAGAGCAATCCGTTATGGGTACTTGCATTGGAGGGAAGGTAACCCAGCAAAACAGAAATCCAAGCCCTTGCTTGTATCCGTGGCCTAGACAACAGCCTGTGTCTATGAAGAATTTATCAAACCATCTGTTTTCACCTCTGGAATGTTTGTTAGTATGGCTCCTGTCATTCCTTGCTCAGTAAATGAGAAGCCAAAAATGAAAAAGTTCCCAAGTCTGCAAACCAATACTGATTGCAACAATGGGAACCAAACAAAGGAATAGAAGTGGGAGAGACTGTCAAAGGGAGGCAACTAAATGCAACTTGCAAGATATGCGTATGTAGACAAACACACAAGACATACACATACACACATGAACACATACACACACACTTTTCCATATTTCTTTGTGTGAAAAAACAGTATTCACTATCCTGCAGCCAAAAACAACAGAGAAGAAGTCATTGTAGCCTTTGACCAAAATGTAAGGAAACATGAAGAAAACTGCAAAACGATATCTAGGAGATAATTCTCAATGTTAACATTCCCGTATTCTTTCCCAGGATAAAAACCCTAGAATGTCTGTCACACAATTTTATAAGAAGTTAAAGTTTCAAAATGTACATAAGGAGACAGGGCACGGTGCTTCACACTTGTAATCCCAGCACTTTGGGAGGCTGAGGTGGGAGAATCATTTGAGCCTAGGAGTTCAAGACCAGCCTAGGCAACACAGCTTTAGTTTTTCTACCAAAACTTAAAAAATTAGCTGGGTGTGGTAGCATATGTCTGTAGTCCAAGTTCCTTGGGAGGGTCAGGCAGGAGGATTGCTTGAGCCCAGGAGTTTGAGGTTGCAGTGAACTATTATCACACCACTGCACTCCAGTCTGGGTGACAGAGTGAGACTTTGTCTCTTCAAAAAATAACTATTATTTTATTATACACACACACATACACATATACAAAAGGAAATATAAAAACTGTGAAGAACCAACCTCCTTTAAGTTTCCACAAAATACAGATGTAAAGAATACTAAGTTTTAAAAAATAATTTTAGGAAGAAAAAAGAGAGAGTGCTAACGAGTGGCTTACAATTGAAGTTCCTCTATTTTTGCTGATCTTTAACATTAGAGAGGCCTGGAGGGATTCGTATTTTATGGCTTTGTCTTAAAATTCTCAGCAATGTTTTGTTTTCTTTTAAAAGCCTGGAGATTATAAACAGACATAAGAGCAAACCCTCTATTTAGGAATTTTTAATTGCCCATTTTGCTCATTACACCTATTTGTTTAGGTTAAAACCAGTCGTATGTTGGTTCTAAGTCTATTTGTATTAGTTTTAGCATGCTACAGACTCCTGTGTCTATACAAAGATGGAAGATTTCATGACATGGTTTCCATGGATGGCAGGGAGGAATAGGGGCATCTAACAGTTGTCCTGGTTTTTCTCTCTCCCAAATGGGTAAAGGGACTTTTCCTTCCTTGTTGCTAATTTTAGCGGTGAAGCAGATCACTGGATGATCCAGTTTTCTGTATGACATAGTCACAGCATCCTCTCCCTTATCCCAGTTGCCGATGTGCTCCCTATGCATGGATATCACAAACTTTGAACACGTCACAGGATCAGAATTTGTCTGTGCTGCTTAGACTGTTAGCTTGCAATTTCAATTTAATGGACTCCTTGGCCTAAATGGTCGTCCATTTGCACAAGAAAGACTAAACTCTCAAGCAACTATAATGATATGATACCTCAGAATGATTTTTTTTTTAATTATTTGAGACACACAAAATAGGCTATTTGATATAAATAGCCAGAAATACTCAGGGATATTAGTTATAATTGATTATTCTTTTCTGTCATTAAACTTAATCAGCAGTATATCTTTTAAGATTAGGAATCTTTAATTCTCAATTAAAAAATCATATTATATAAAAGAAAGACTTCCATTTGCTATTTTAAATACGTATTTAAATATTGTTCTTTTCAGGCTTATAGCCTATTCACCCAGTGGCTGCCCTGCATGAAATCTAGTCCCTGTTGAAATCTGGTTTTTATGACCTGAGTGACAACTTTCTGGTTTTAGTCCATGGAGGACACATACTCCTGCTCTGACAAATGTGCTTAGTGCATCTGATATTAATACATGTGTATTCTCACGAACAATTGATTTTGAAAATGTTTGTAAATACAAGGGTATTGTGTGTTTTATTAAAGCCTGGAGCTGACAAGTGTAACCATTACAGTATTATCTTTAGTTTCTGCACCATTAGTTTCAAAATTCTCACCTGTCATCTCTGCCTGACTTAAGAAGCAGCAGCACATGCTGATGAAATCCAGCCGGCCTGAAACCAGAGATCCACAGAAGCATGAATGTCAGGGGCAGTAAAGCATGGTTTCTGGCACAGCCGGGGTCTTTTGTAACGCTGTGTGAAAAGCAAACAGACGATTTAGCCAAATGATTTTTCCGTGCTATCTTTGGCATGGCAAGGAGTTGACAGATGGAAATGTAACCACACCATGTTTTGGTAGGAGAGCATGGAGCTGGTGTACAATAAGTCCAAGTCTGTCGCTGTTACCGGAATGGCTTTCCCAACAGGAGATGTCAATAACTTCGTGGTTGGCAGCGAGGAAGGTACAGTCTACACGGCTTGTCGTCATGGAAGGTGATTTTCTGTTTTCTTACTGATGATATGTTCTTCATTTCCGAAAGTCTGTTATCACATTCTGGATTTTAACCACCTTGCATTATGAGAAAACATCTCTGAAAAAATGGAAAGCACAACTTCAAGTCTTCATTATCTTAAAGAGCTACATCTGCTCTGGTCATTAGCTGTTCATAAGTCTATGGTGGTTCACACTGCCTTAAGGGAAAACCACTGAAGCTTCTGAGCATATCATAAGAGACCACTGGCACCTTCCCAGCATCTCTGCATACCTTCAGGGTCTAGACATGTGCCCATCAGAGATAACAATCCCCAAATATTTCTTATCCCTCCTTGCCTCATTGAGTTTGTATACTCAACTTCTTTTACCAGGTCTAGCACTTCTCCCTTCTTGGCCTGGTTAATTCCTCCTCATCATTCAAGAGTCAGCACAGAGATCATTCCATGTGAAACCTTTCCTGACTCTTGAGCAAAGAAAACCACTCCCACTTTTAAGTCCCATAGAATTTTCATTTATTTTATTCATTCACTCTTCCAAGGAATATTTACTAAGAACCTACCATGTGCCAGGCACCATCAAAAGGATACATTAAAGAACAAGACAGACCTAGAGTTCGTATTCTAGTTGAGGGTAAACTACTAATAAGCAAATAAATATATAGTTTAGGATGATAAGTGCTATGGAGAAAATTAAAGTAGAATAAGTGGGATAGGACTATCGGCTGTCAAGTTGACAATTTCATATTTTTTTAATGCTTCTACAATAGCATTAATCATATTTTAGTTTATTCATTCATCTGCCATTTTTCTTGTACTACATTATTTCCATTTCATCTTTGATTTCCTGCACAGTACCTAGGACATAGTAAGTGTGGAGCTAATAATATATATTGGGTATAAAGAAATGATAAAGAAATGATATATAATATAATCCATACAATCTAGAGAACTGCCTTAAAACCCTTCCTCCCAGTCAGAGGGATCAGAACAGAGTGAGTCACACAAACCGCCATGCAGTTCCCACGTGATAGATAAGAACTCTGCCTTAACTGAGAGATTCACAATGCCCCTGGAAGAGAGAGTTGTCAGTATAAAGTGGAATCCAATAGTTTGGACTGGATTGTAAAATTGCATGCAAAACTTAACCGTTGACCTCACATCTTTTGAAAGGGTCACTATGTTCACACTGGTGCTTAATTTCTGTTTTAATTTAGTAGTTCTTATTCCATGTATTTATTTTTTTTCATCTCTTGCACTCATCCCAGGCTATTAAGATTTAATGAAGAACCACAAATTGTTCCAAGCTCATATCCCTGTGTTTCTGTGATCTGTAGAAATAACAAGCATCCATGGCTCAGCTGTGTGACTTTTTCCATTCAAACTATACGAGCTGTGATGTCCCTGCTGTTCTGCACATAGAAACAAGCAGTATTTGCCCCCTCACATGATTCAAACATGATTTAGGAAGATATGCCTCACAGTCCATTCCCAATGATCCTCCTTCATAAAAGCTGGCTAGAACCACACATTAAAGCTTTATCAAAGCATAAAAAAATTTGATAAAGTTATTCATTTATAAATACATTTGTTGTATGCCTACTTTGAGCAAAGTGCATTGTTAGGTGCTACAAGGCCTGCAGACGTCGTGTAAGCCTGGTTTCTCTCTTCAAAAAAACTGATGACAGTGGGAAAGATAAATACACAAACATCTGGAGCATGAGTAGAATGTCTTAAGTGGCACTAGAGGCATAGAGAGTATAATAGGCCAGATCTGGAGTCATAGCTTTATCTATATGTGTATTAGAATCAACAGGGCATAGGTTCATTTGACTTAACCCGTGGTTTTACCTAGGTCCTTAATTATCTGCGAAGGCTATAGAATACATTCATTGATAATTTCCAGATTTTTTTCATTGCTATAAAGTGAATAACATCTTACATGATGAACATTCTTGTTCTGTGGCTATTGTACTTTTTAAGCACTATCAGAATATGCACTTTGGTTCAAAAGAAGGGTCCCTGTGGCACACACCACAAATCTTTTTACAAGCTTAATTTTGCTTTTACATTGGTCCATCCATCTGAAATAGAAAATACAGACCTTAGTAAAATTGTAACATAGCAGGCATTGGCTTTGTAGTCATTCTAAATGGGGGAGAAGCAGGGGATTGTTATTTTTCACCTAACATAGAGAAGGTGCAAATCCACTTCCATAAATTAAACAAGGTCCTCATTTTGCACCCTATAAACCCTTTCAGGATGCTGTTAAGAGCAAGTGGAGTCTCACCAGGGGCCACTTCAAAGATCAGTTCCTCAGGTTCATTAGAACAAATTTAAATGATCATGTGTGGAACTGCTGTTAGCAGTTTCACTGTGCGTAATTTTTGAGTGCCTGTTACACTGCCACACTTTGCTCATGCCACACTTTGCTCATGATTCCAAATTTTGCTAAGCACATTGACATTTATTGGTGCTCCAGAGGCCCAAACATTTTAATAACTGAACTCATTTTTATTCTTAGTGACATAATATTAGGATTCTACAATTCCTACGTATTTGTCATATTTATAACCTTGTGCACATGAATATTTTAAATACAGCATTTGTGGTATGTTTTCTCACATCTTCCTAATTGTATATGATTGCATGCAGAATACTAAGTGATAATAGAGGACTGCAAATAATACCAGCTTAGTTAAATAAGCAATATTTGTCGGTGTGTAATTTTTTAAATGTCTATCATTATTTCTCAAACGTGCTTCTCTCTTAAAAAAGGACTGAGACATAAGTTTGTCTGTTTTTATATTAGCTAGCTTATTCAACAAATATATTGAGCACTTACTATATGCCAGACACTTGGCAACAAGAAAGACAAGATACCTGCCCATATGGAATTTACAAAGGATTTGTAAATCTCTCTTCTGTTTTCAGTAAAGAGAAAACATTATTTTCTCCATATTATATTTAAATTATGTGCATTATTTTGTGGTGACAAGGGTTTCCACAAAGTGTTACATTTTTAACTATGTTAACTTAATTTAAGAAATTTCCTCAAAAAAAAAAAAGATTGTTTCTTCAAGGATAGATGGAGTTTTATAGTCAGTAGGCTCCCCAAAAGGAGATAAAGCAGACCATGTGCAAAATGCTATCTCAAGAATAAAATAATCTTATAAATATAAAAGCTTCTGAGACTGAAGTGTATTTGTTTCCATTAAAATAACTGCATCAACAATGATAGGCTTTGAGGAATTCCGCAAAAGGAATTAAATAATAAATGTTGATATTAAATTCTGTATTTTAAAAAGATTACATTGCCCCACATTGTTTTTAAATAATCAAAACTAGGGTAACATATTTGCAAACAATTTCTTTCAGGATAACTGTAAAAATGATTTCATTTTGATGGTGTGTGGTTGTTCTAAATTATGGAGAAGTAATCATGCAGAGTTGAGGGGTTTTTTTATTTTGTTTTGTTTTTTAAGCAATCACTGCTTTTCAGAGGTCACTGGAATTCTGCTCTTGTGTGCTTTTCCTACAGCAAAGCAGGTATTGGTGAGGTCTTTGAAGGTCACCAAGGGCCAGTGACAGGAATTAACTGCCACATGGCAGTGGGCCCAATCGACTTTTCTCACCTGTTTGTCACATCATCATTTGACTGGACTGTCAAACTGTGGACCACAAAGGTAAGAATATCTTGACTGAAATTCTCAGATATATTATAAGGGCTGAAGATGGTTTTTCATTCCCTGGAAACAGTTGTCCCTAAAGCCTCTTCCAGGCAACCTGGCACTGGGAATTCATATACCTTCTGGTGAGGCCAGTCTGCCTCAGAGCTAGTCCATTTTACTTATTTATTTTTATTTTTATTTATTTATTTTCATTTTTATTTATTTATTTTTTTGAGACAGAGTCTCACTCTGTCGCCCAGGCTGGAGTGCAGTGGCCCGATCTTGGCTCACTACATGCTTCGCCTCCCGGGTTCACACCATTCTCCTGCCTCAGCCTCCTGAGTAGCTGGGACTACAGGCATCCACCACCACACCAGGCTAATTTTTTTGTATTTTTAGTAGAGACAGGGTTTCACCGTGGTCTCGATCTCCTGACCTTGTGATCTGCCCTCCTCGGCCTCCCAAAGTGCTGGGATTACAAGCGTGAGCCACCACACCTGGCCCATTTCACTTATTTTTAAACATGTAGGTAATACTTGAAAACATTCTAATTATAAAAAATTCAAACAATTCAAATAATGATAAAGCTGCAGTCCTCCTCTACCAACCCCAACCCCATCCACAACATCCCTTCACTGCCTGCATCTCAGTCCCCTCCCCAGAGGCAAACTTTTATCAGTTTCATGTCTATGTTCTGGAGCTTGGTGGTATCTACTTTCTTACATATGTACCTATGGAAATATATGATTTGGGACTTGGGTTCTATTTTTGTTTGGTTCGTTGGTTGGTTGTTTATTTTTATTTTGAGCTGTTGGAGGTTTTTAAGCTGATAAATGACCCTATGTTATATTTTAAAAGGTAATTCTGGCCAGGAGCAGTGGCTCACATCTGTAATCCCAGCATTTTGGGAGGCCGAGGTGGGTGGATCGCTTGAGGTCAGAAATTTGAGACCAGCCTGGCCAACATGGTAAAGCCCCATTTCTACTAAAAATACAAAAATTAGCCGTGTACGGTGGCACATGTCTGTAGTCCCAGCTACTCTGGAGGCTGAGGCAGGAAAATCGCTTGAACCTGGGAGGCGGAGGTTGCAGTGAGCCGAGATTGGGCCACTGCATTCCAGCCTGGGCGACAGAGCCAGACTCCATCTCAAAATAAAATAAAATAAAAGGTGATTCTGTCCATGCTTGAGAGCAAGAAGAAAAGCAGAGACCACTTGGAAGGAAGGTGCAGTAATCTAGGAAAGAAATAATGTTGACTTAAACCAGTAGTCTGAGATGGAGAGAAATAAATGAATTTGAGAACCATTTAAGAGATAAAAGCCACAGAAATTGGTGATTGATTTGATAGAAGGAAGGTAGGAGAGGGAGTCATCAGCAGATAACCTAGGTTTATGACCTGGGCAGCTGGTGAGTTGTAGCATTCACTGCACTGGAGAACAGCAGGGGAAGAACATGCTGGGGGGAAGAGCTTTGCACATGCTGAGCTAAAAGTGCCCGGGAGGGGCATTCGAGATCTCATTTCAAGATCTCCATTAGGCAGTTTGATATGTGAGTCGGAAGGAGAGAGAGACCTCCCAGCAGCCTGTATGCACTAGAATAGCAGTGATCTTCACAAGTGAGTGTATTTTTTTTTTTTACACGGTCTCACTCTGTTACCCAGGCTGGAGTGCAGTGGCACTATCTTGGCTCACTGCAGCCTCTGTCTCCCAGGTTCAAGTGTTTCTCCTGCCTCAACCTCCCTAGTAGCTGGGATTCCACAGCACACACCACCACGCCTGGCTAATTTTTGTGTTTTTAGTTGAGATGGAGTTTCGCCATGTTGGCCGGGCCGGTCTCGAACTCCTGACCTCAAATGATGTGCCCGCCTTGGCCTCCCAAAGTGCTGGGATTACAGGCATGAGCCACACACCTGGCCCAGGAGTGGATTTTAAAAGAAACACTAACATGCAATCTGGAGGGAGAGCAATACTTAGGAAATAAACGGGAGAAATTGAACTAGAAAAGGGAGATTAAAAAGTAACCCAGGAAATAGAAGACAAATTAGAATTTTCTTTGCGGCTTCATGGGTATTAATGGAAAAAACCATGTCAAGAGGACAGAATTTGCTTTTAACTATATGAAAAGATAACAACCTTATTTATAAGAGAAATTAAAATTAAAACCAAGTTGAGAAACATATTTTCAACTATCAGATTGACAAAAATCTAAGTTTTGCAACACACTCTGTGATGAGGCCGAAATAAACCAGCTATTCTCATACATTGCCATTGGAAATGCAAAATGGCTCAACACTATGGAAGGGGATTTAGCAGTATCTAAAAATAATACATGTTTGAACAGAACAATTTCCACTTCTGGGAATCTATGCCAAAGATATACTGCAAAAATAAGAAAGAAGACATGTGCAGAAGGACATTCATTGAAAGATTACTTGAATAGCAAAAGAAAAGAATGAATACAACTCCAAAATATCTATCAATAGAGTGCTGGGTGAATCAAAAGTATGGCACCTCCACCCAAGCGAGTAATATTATTGAGGTATAAGAAAAAATGAAGAAAACTTCTATGTACTATTATGGAGTGGTCCCTAAGATACGTTTTTAAACGAGTAAAGCAAAGTGGAGAGAAGTGCAAATAGTATTTTGTATATTATCATTGTTTATAATTATATTAATATATACTTAGAAGTTGAAAGGATAAACACAAAAGTTACTTACAGGAAGACGGGAAGCTAAAAGAAAAAAATAATAGCTAGCTTATTTGAATATATCTTATTTTTACATTTGATTTCGGAACCATGTAAATATTTTATATAGTTATAAAAGAAAATGAAATAAATTTAAAAATTGATTCCTAAAAAATTTAAAATAACATGAATCAACCTTAATGTGGTTCAAGTGGGTAGCAAAATTCATTAAAGAATGATTTGAAGTGACTTTAAAACGCTGTATGTTTGGTATACATTCCTAACCGGGATATATTTTAACAATTTTTTTAAACTACCAAAAAAAAAAAAAAAAAAGATCTAAACTACTTCTAGTACTCATATTGCTGGTTGTCACATTTCTACTGTTATCCTGAGACCTTTGTATTTGTATCATAACATAAGTTAAATTACTATGTTGGTGTCATTGAGAACTGAGATTATCAGCTTGGTTGGAAGGAGATACAGACTCATGCAGTTAAGTAACAATTCTGTAGTAATCCTGAATCTGAGTGGGAAGTATAAGAACTCATGGCATGTATTATCTTTCAATATGAAAGAATACATATTCACTGCTCTGACCACAAAAGGATCTAGGAACAGTGATCAGTTCAATAGCTGTGACCTTCCTGATGCCCAGGATGTGCTCCCCAAATACAAGTTCCACTCAAGGAAACCAGGGATCCCAGAAGAAATTACTGATTGTAGGTGTGGAGCAGGAAATGTATAAAATAAACTGAGATTATTTTATTATAACAAGCAAAAATGCTACCAAACACTACAAAGATTTTGTCAAAGGACTTGGAAGCCAAGTTGAGTAAGCTTCTTTTGGCCCTGACAACATTGATAAGAGTAATAGATTCATGAGTTCATAACAATACTGAAGAAAACAAACAAATAAAAAACCTCATTGGCCACCTATGGAGAATACTAGGTAAACAAACTCACCAGTGAGTAAATGAAAGAATCAAACATTTAGTCTGTCTTTTCTATATGAATTGTATTTCAGGGTTACTAAATCATTGATGAGGGGACATTTTCTTTACAGCATTTCAGCTAATATAGGAATAAAAAATGGGTTGGGCACTGTGGCTCACACCTGTAATCCCAGCACTTTGGGAGGAGATCGAGACCATCCTGCCCAACATAGTGAATACTTGTCTCTACTAAAAATACAAAAGTTAGCTGGGCGTGGTGAGGTGTGTCTATAATCTCAGCCACTAGGGAGGCTTGGGAGGCTGAGGCAGGAGAATCACTTGAACCAGGGAGTCAGAGGTTGTAGTGAACCGAGATTGTGCCACTGCACTCCAACCTGGTGACAGAGCAAGACTCCATCTCAAGAAAGGAAGGAAGAAAGGAAGGAAGGAAGAAAGGAAGGAAGAAAGGGAAGGAAGGAAGGAAGGAAGGAAGGAAGGAAGGAAGGAAGGGAAAGAAAGAAGGAAGGAAGGAAAAAAGAAAGAAAGAAAGAAAGAAAAAGAAAGAAAGAAAGAAAGAAAGAAAGAAAGAAAGAAAGAAAGAAAGAAAGAAAAGAATTTGAAAATCACCATTTTGCAAATACCATAATCTAGGCAATGATTATTGCTGACAATATGGTAAAAATAGAAACAACCTTTTTCATAATTATGGAAATACACAATACCACCTTTGAAGTAGGCTGACACCCAAAGTTGAATCTGAATCTTATCAATCCTCCAGATCTCTGAATTTAGAAGATACAGATGCAAAATATTAAATAACACCACAGGGATGCAATCAGCCAAACCCAAACTGCTGGCATATCTACAGGACAACTGATTTAGTTTCTGCAACAAAACCAAAACTTTTTCCTCAAGGGCAAATTGGAAGCGGAAACAATGTATTAAAAAAACAGAACAAAACAAAACTTGGGACATTTCAGTGGATCTTAAAATATGGATCTTACATAGATCATGATTCAAACAAGCACCAGGTGAAAAACTTTAGAAGACTACCAGGGAAATGCAAATACTAACTGTATATTTGATGATATTTATGAAGTACTATTTTTAGTAATTTTTTTTTTTTTAATGGAGTCTCTTTTGACTACACTGGAATGCAGTGGCGCCATCTCGGCTCACTGAACCTCCACCTTCTGGTTCAAGCAATTCTCCTGCCTTAGCCTCCTGAGTAGCTGGGATTACAGGTGCCTGCCACCACGACTGGCTAATTTTTGTATTTTTAGTAGAGATGGAGTTTCACCATGTTGATCAGGCTGGTCTCGAACTCCTGACCTCATGATCCGCCCGCCTCGGCCTCCCAAAGTTCTAGGATTACAGGCATGAGCCACCGTGCCC